GCCGCTCGGCCGCTCTGGCTGTCGCTGGCCCAGGCGCGGTGGCCGCCGCTGCCTCGGACCAGCCGCCCGCGGCTGCTCCGCCGGCGGCGCCTGGTCCGGCCGCCGCGGCCGGGGCTCCCGCTGCGGAGCCCATGGCTGCTCCGCGGGCGGCCGCGTCGTCGGGAGGCGCCCCGCCAGCCGCCGAGCCCCCGCCTCCGCAGCAGCACGCGGGAGACGCCGCGGCAGCCCCGCCTCCGCCTGTTGCGCCAGGTGGCCCCGACTTCGTCCGGCGCGTGCGCCCGCGCCCGCGGGTCTTCTGCCCCGTCCCAGGGTGTCCGCGCGCAGACCCGGCGGCCACCGCAGGGTGGGCTGACCACCAGACCATGCGGCAGCATCTGAATGAACACGCTGCTGGGCGTTTCCCTGGCCTTCCCCCAGTGCCGCAAGATTACTTGGACGAGCACCGCCTGGGCCAGTGCTCGGTGTGCCAACGTTTCTTGGCCAACCGTTACAATGGCATCTGCCCCCGTTGCCGTCCCGCGACCCGGGCGGCGGCCGCCGGGGCCGCCCCGGCCGCTGACGGCGCCGCGCCGCGACCTCCGGAACTCCCTTCCTTGGAGGAGGTTTTCGCCAGGCGCGCGGGCACCAAACGGTACGTGCCCAAGGGCGCCCGCGCGCTGTGGGCGCGGTGCCTGGCCCAGGCGACGGCGCTTGCCACCCGCGCCAACAACGAGGCTGCTTGGATCCAGCTGGCCATGCTGCCGAAGTGCGCGCTTCGGCCGCACGCCCGCGGCGGCCGCGGCAGCCGGAACGCCGCTGAGGCCGAAACGAAGGAGCTTTGCAGGCGCTGGCTAGAGGGAGAACGCGCCTCTCTGTGGGCCGAGACAACAGAACGACGCGACGGGAAGAAGCAGCGCTCCCAGGCCGCGCAGCGCGCCCACCGGTGTTTGGAACTCGCGGCCGACGCGCAGTACTCGAAAAGCTGCGCCGCTCTCGTGAGCGAGCCACCTGTCGACGTGACCCCGGCGGTCGTCGACCAGATGCGCCGCAAGCACCCTCGCAGCAGCCGGGCGGTGGACTTCACCACCCTGCCCCCGGTGCACGCCGCGGCGGCCCTGCAGGTGGACGCGGCCGCTGTGGAGCGGGAGGTGCGGGCCTTCCCCCGCGGGTCTGCGGCGGGGCCAACGGGGCTGCGACCCCAGCACCTCAAGGACGGCTTGCAGACGGCGGCACACAGGGACGAAGTCCTGCAGCAGCTCCACAGCCTGACCAACCTGCTTGCCCGGGGCCAAGCGCCCCCCGCTGCTGCGAAGCTCTTCGCGGGTGCCTCGCTGGCGGCCCTCCCAAGGAAAGACGGCGGTCTGCGGCCGGTCGCCGTCGGGGAGACGCTGCGCCGCCTGGTGGGCAAGTGCCTCTGCGGCGAGGTATCAGATGCAGCACGCGCGCGGCTGGCGCCTCTGCAGCTCGGAGCGGCGGTGCCCGGGGGCACGGAGGCCGCAGTCCACGTCTCGCGGCAATGGTGGACCAGGAACCAGGGCGACCGCCAGAAGGTTTTCGTGAAACTAGACTTATCGAACGCCTTCAACACGCTGGACAGGCAGGCGTTTCTGCGAGCAGTTCACGAAGATTTCCCTGGCCTTGCCCCCTTCGTAGACTGGTGTTATGGCGCCCCGAGCCTGCTGTTTCTGGGGAAGAAGACCCTACGGTCCGAGCGCGGCGTCCAGCAAGGCGACCCACTCGGCCCCCTGCTCTTCGCACTCGCCCTGCAGCGCTGCGCGGAGGAGGCGCGCGCCGAGCAAGCCGACCCGGCCGACGGTTCCCTGGACTTGGTTTTCTTTTACCTCGACGACGGCTGCCTGGCGGGGGACGCGCCCGCGGTCGCCCGCCTCCTGCGCCGCCTGGTGAGGCGCCTTGCCGCGGTCGGCCTGGACCTCAGCACGGGGCCCGGCAAGTGCGAGGTGGTGCCCGCCAGCGGCGCCGGCAGCAACGTTGACGTGGCCGCATTCCCGCAAGGCTTCCGCATCAGGGAGGACAACAGCTTCGAACTCTTGGGGGCCCCTGTGGGGAACGACCGTTTCTGCTCGGAACACACCAGGGAAAGGGTGGCCAAGGCTGCGGACCTTCTGGAAGCTCTCGGGGCCTTGGAAAACGCTCAGACGGCCTTGCTCTTGCTCCGCCAGTGCGCCTCCTACTGCAAGCTGGGCTACTCCGCGCGCGTGATACCGCCGACGGCGCACACCGGCGCGCTGCAGGCCATGGACACCGCCGTCCGGGCATGTTTGGAGCAACTCAGCGGGTCTACCTTTTCGGATGACTCGTGGAAGCAAGCGCAGCTCAAACTCAAACGAGGCGGGCTTGGGCTCCGCTCCACCGAGAAGCACGCCGCGGCCGCCTACCTGGCCTCCCGCGCCCGCGGCGCGGAACTCTGCCGACAGCTTTACGCAGCCTACGAAGACACCGACGGCGGAGACGGGGGCAGCCTTGCCGCGGCCACGCAGGCCTTCAACGACACAGTCCTTCCAGCAGACCGGATCGCCTTCGACCCCGCCCAGCACGGGGACCAACGGCTCCTCTCTGAAAAGGTGGACGACGCTGTCCGCGACGACCTTTGGCAACGCGCCCCGCCGGCCACGAGAGCCCACCTCAACCTGGTAGCGGCCCCGGGCGCTGGCGCTTACCTGCAGGCACCGCCGTGCCCAGCATTCGGCACCGACTTCCCGCACAGCTTGATGCAAGTGGCGCTGCAACGCCGCCTTCGACACCCGCTGCTCGAGGAGGAGACGTTTTGCCCCGCGTGCGGGGAGGTGATGGACGTGTTTGCAGACCACGCGCTCACCTGCAGTTGCCGCGGCGACCGCACGAAGCGCCACAACTGCCTCCGGGACCAGGCCTGGCACGAGGCGCTGGCCGCCGGCTACGCCGGAGCGGAACTCGAGCGCCCGGGTTTGCTGCCGCCGCGCGCGCCCGGCGAGGGCCCCCCGGCCGGGGAGGCCGGCGGCGACGACTTGGACGGCGACGGGAGGCGCCCCGCGGACGTCTTCGTTCCGCGGTGGCGAGGCGGCACGCCGGCCGCGTGGGACTTCGCCGTGACCTCGGGCCTCCGCGCGGACTTGCTCGCGACTTCTGCCGCGGAGGGCGGCGGCGACGCGGCGGCGACCCGCTACGAGGAGCAGAAGCGCCTGCACCTGGACACAGCGCGCAGATGCTCAGAGGCCGGCCTGACGTTCATACCGATGGTATGCGAGGCCCACGGCGGCGGCTGGGGCCGCGAGGCGCGACGCGCCTTCGCGGTGCTTGCCAAACGCGCGGCCGACGCTACCGGAGACGACGCCGCGCTCGCGGCCGACCAGCTTGCCCAGCGACTTTCTATTTCCCTGCACAGGGAAAACGCGCGGGCAGTGCTGCGACGCCTCCAGCTGCGAGCGGGGGCGACGGCCGCGCGCTTGGCCGCGGCCACGGCAGCCGCCACGGCGGATGCCGTGTGAGCTACCGCCGCAGTGACCCGCCGGGCAGCCCCACTCCGCCCCCGTCCCCGCCCCCGCTCCCGCCGACCCCGCCCGCCCCGCTGGACGCCCACGGGGCCCTGATGCGACGGCCGTCACACCCCCTGACCCACGTCGACCCCGACGACCCCGCACGCCCACGACCCTCGACGACCCCCCGACCGCCGCCGGCGCCCCTTGCCCCCTCCCGCCCCCTGTCCGCCCCCGACGCGACGACCCTCGCCCCCCCCCGCCCCCCGCCCGCCCCCCGTCGTGCGTGCTTGCTTGCTGTTCCTTTGCCGCCTCCCTTCCCCCCTCTCTTCCTGCATGGTTATGTATGCTCGCCGCGTTTTTCCTCCCCCTCCTCCTCCTCCTCCTCCTCCTTCCTCCTCGCCGGACAGCACGGCCTGCCCGGAAGCAGCGTGGCGGCGCGCAGGTCTGCAAAGCAGGCAGGTCGCAGGCAGCGTCATAGACAGCGGCTCATTGAAGGCTCCAGGAGGCTGCGGAGGCGGAGGGCCCCCACCAGCGGAGGAGCCGGCACCAGACCCCTGGAGGAGGATGTTCAGTTTGGCTTGACATTGACGCTAGCACACTAGATGCGTGAAGTTCTGCCGTCCGACCCGCCATTACTGGACTGTCAGAGACCATGGTGTCGAGGGGTTTTTTGCTCCCTTGACTCTGGGCAGCGCGCTGAAAATCACAGACTCGCACGATCGCATCCCCCGAAAACCCAAAGGAAAACACACCGCCTCGTTGCCGACGCAGACGCGCCGAAGGACATCGACAATCAAGGAACCCATGAAAAAACACACCGTGCCGTCTGGACCCACTGGGGCGGTGGGTGGGTCGGGTTCTGGCCGTCCATAGTCACCGTGGGCATCGAATGGGGGCGGTCGATGCTCCTCCCTCATTTCGAAACAAAACAGGTCGACCCATGAAGTCGGACGGCGTTGGAAGTATATTGGGTTTCCGCCCGCCCCCTGAAGAGGAAGGAGAAGGTGAACCCACTCGATCATTGAAGTAGGAAGGCGCCTCAGGCAGATTGGGATCCGAAAATCCAGGCACACTTGCTTTCAACGACCGACGGGTATGCGTTTGCTTTGTTTTTTGCTGCCCCAGGCCTCGAGAGCGCGCCAGGAGGCCGTGATCCCTCGAGCCCACGCCGGGGGCGTGGGGACGCCGGCGGGGAAACAGCAACATCGCACGCTAGGCGCGGAGACAGAGCGGCGGCGCACGCATGGATGGAGGCGGAGGCAACGTTGGGGAGGCAGCACGCTGGGCACCGAAGTCGACAGCGTGAATGCTGGTCGCCTGCCGCCAGCAGGGCAAACCTCAGGACTCGCAAGTGGCAACTGCCATCTCCTAGCGCGGTGCCGATCGGTGCCGACGCTCAAAACTGGCCACGCCGAACGCGCTCGGCGCGCCCACCCACAGGACAAGAAAGCAACAAGACATGAGACAATTCGGGAGCAGCCAGCGCCCCCTCGCGAGCGAGCAGAGACTATCGGGGAAAGGAAGGGCCACCCGGCTGCGCGGCGTCTACCACCCCCCGCCGCCGCCGCCCCAGCCGCCACCGCCACCCTTGCCGCCACCCTTGCCGCCGCCACCACCCCAGCCGCCACCTCCGCCGCCGCCATCGCCACCGCCTGTCTTCCAGGGACCGGAGCAGGATGCTGCCGAGAACTTGCCCTTGCGGTCGTCCCACTCCACCTCGTACGTGACGGCGTCGCCCTCCTCGAGATACGCGGTGCGATCTTGACCGTTCACCTTGCGGTGCACGAACACGTCCTCGCCACCACCATCAGGCGTTATGAAGCCGAAGCCCTTGTCCTCGAAGAACTTCTTGATGGTCCCCGTCGGCATGACTGCGCAGGCTGGCGGGCCGAAACGACTCGGTCTTGCCCCGATGTGGGTGGCCTCGGTCAGAGTGGCTTCAGCTAAGGCTGCTCGGGCCGAGGCAACGTTAAGGAAGCAACGTTCGGTTGGTCGAGGTTCGAGGTCTTCTTACGTTCTCGTCGGTTCTCGGTGGCTCTCCAGCCTCGGGATGCGTTCCAACAGCTGCGCCTCGTCGAGGGCGTTCCGGGCGTGCCCGAATCGTCCAGGACCGTCGTCGGAGAACTGCTGATTTATGACCCAGGAACCACGGAACCACGGAGGAACGCCAGGGGGGGGGAACATCGACAATTGGCGATGGCTTGGTGATGAGCCCCCGACCACGTCGGGGCCCTGTCGCGATTGGGGACCGATCCGTTCCCTCCTGAGGTCTACTGCCCCCCTAGCACTGCGCCAGAGGTGAACTGTCCGAGCTCCGCGCGAATCTCTTGGGATCGGCGCTGCACACCCCCTCACTGGCGTGCGGAACGCGTCAGGCGCGGCGTCGGGGGCGCTGCCAAGGGGGGCCAGCGCCGATTCCAAGAATTCCGCGCGGAGCTACGTAAAATTATGCATGTGTTTATGCCATGTGTCTTCTTCGAGGCAGGAGGACCGATCCTGCCAAAATGGCGTCTTCCGCATCCCCCTAATCCTCCTCCTCCCTCCTCCCTTCCCCTTCCTCCCGCCTGATCCCCCTCCTCCTCCTCCTCCTCCTCTTCTTCCTCCTCCTTCTCTTCCTCCTCCTCCTCGTCCTCATCCTCCTCCTCCTCTTACTTCTCCTCCGCCTCCTCCTCCGGTGCTTGATCTGTCCTCCCCCTCGTTGGATATGACGACCTCCCAGCCTTCATTCCACTGTGCGCCCCCCCACATGCATTACCAGGGCAACTCGCCTGGGCATCGTTTCTGGATGGGCTGGTGGAGTTACGCGAAGCGTCTGGCAGAAACACCCCTACGATCGAAGCCCGTCAGTAAACGCACCAGTCGAATCAGTGAACGCCAGGGCTGTTGTGGGGGTTGGGGGGGGTTTTCCTCCCTTGACTCTGGGCAGCGCGCTGAAAATTAGGGAGACGCGCGATCGCATCCCAAAGAGAACCCAAAGGAAAACACATCGCCTCGTTGTCGACACAGACACGCCGAAAGACATCAATTATTAAGGAACCCGCGAAAGAACACACCGTGCCGTCTGGACCCACTGGGGCGGTGGGTGGGTCGGGTCCTGGCCGTCCATAGTCACCGTGGGCAACGAATGGGGGCGGTCGATGCTCCTCCCTCATTTCGAAACAAAACAGGTCGACCCATGAAGTCGGACGGCGTGAGAAGTAGATTGGGTTTCCGCCCGCCCCCTGAAGAGGAAGGAGAAGGTGAACCCACTCGATCATTGAAGTAGGAAGGCGCCTCAGGCAGATTGGGATCCGAATATCCAGGCATACTTACTATCAACGACCGACGGGTATGCGATTGCTTTGTTTTTTGCTGCCCCAGGCCTCGAGAGCGCGCCAGGAGGCCGTGATCCCTCGAGCCCACGCCAGTAGCGTGGGGACGCCGGCGGGGGGGCAGCAACATCGCGCGCTAGGCGCAGAGACAGAGCGGCGGCGCACGCAGGGATGGAGGCGGAGGCAACGTTGGGGAGGCAGCACGCTGGGCACCGAAGTCGACAGCGTGAATGCTGGTCGCCTGCCGCCAGCGGGGCAAACCTCAGGACTCGCAAGTGGCAACTGCCATCTCCTAGCTCGGTGCCGATCGGTGCCGACGCTCAAAACTGGCCACGCCGAACGCGCTCGGCGCGCCCACCCACAGGACAAGAAAGCAAAAAGACATGAGACAATTCGGGAGCAGCCAGCGCCCCCTCGCGAGCGAGCAGAGACTATCGGGGAAAGGAAGGGCCACCCGGCTGCGCTGCGTCTACCACCCACCGCCGCCGCCGCCCCAGCCGCCACCGCCACCCTTGCCGCCACCCTTGCCGCCACCACCACCCCAGCCGCCACCTCCGCCGCCGCCATCGCCACCGCCTGTCTTCCAGGGACCGGAGCAGGATGCTGCCGAGTACTTGCCCTTGCGGTCGTCCCACTCCACCTCGTACGTGACGGCGTCGCCCTCCTCGAGGTACGCGGTGCGATCTTGACCGTTCACCTTGCGGTGCACGAACACGTCCTCGCCACCACCATCAGGCGTTATGAAGCCGAAGCCCTTGTCCTCGAAGAACTTCTTGATGGTCCCCGTCGGCATGACTGCGCAGGCTGGCGGGCCGAAACGACTCGGTCTTGCCCCGATGTGGGTGGCCTCGGTCAGAGTGGCTTCAGCTAAGGCTGCTCGGGCCGAGGCAACGTTAAGGAAGCAACGTTCGGGGGGTCGAGGTTCGAGGTCTTCTTACGTTCTCGTCGGTTCTCGGTTGCTCTCCAGCCTCGGGATGCGTTCCAGCAACTGCGCCTCGTCGAGGGCGTTCCGGGCGTGCCCGAATCGTCCGGGACCGTCGTCGGAGAACTGATGTATGACCCAGAAACCACGGAGGAAAGCTAGGTGGGGGAACATCGACAGTCGGCGACGGCTCGGCGATGAGCCCCCGACAACGACAGGGCCCCGATGCGATTGGGGACCAGTGCGTTCCCCCCTGAGGTCTACCGCCCCCTGGCACCCTAGCACTGCGCCAGATGTAGAAGGAGAAACAGCTGCATACATATGAACTGTCGGAGCTCCGCGCGGATCTCTTGCGAGGCGCGCCAGGGGCGGCGTCGGGGGCGCTGCCAAGGGGGTCCAGCGCCGAGTGAAATCCGCGCCGAGCTCCGAAAATGGCGTCTTGCGCACCCCCCTCATCACCCTCCTCCCTCCTCCCTTCCCCTTCCTCGCGCCTGATCCCCCCTCCTCCTCCTCCTCCTCCTCCTCCTCCTCCTCCTCCTCCTCCTCCTCCTCCTCCTCCTCCTCCTCCTCTGGTGCCTCTTCTGTCCTCCCCCTCTTCGGCATTCCGCTGCGTGCTCCCCCACATGATTGATCAGGGCAACTCGCCTGGGCATCGTTTCTGGATGGGCTGGTGGGGTTATGCGAAGCGTCTAGCAGAAACACCCCTACGATCGAAGCCCGTCAGTAAACGCACCAGTCGAACCAGTGAACGCCAGGGCTGTTGTGGGGGTCGAGGGGTGCGCCGGGGAGGCGTCGGCCCTCGCACCAGCCGAGGCACGAGCTGGCCTGGCTCAGATCGAGGCCGAGGTGCACGCGCTGGAGAAGACGCTGGACTCCCAGGACCTCGCCGCCTTCGCAGAGCTGGAGATGCAGGCCGGGCGCGGGCCGACCTCTGAGGAGGCCCTGCGTGCGGAACGAAGGCGGATGTTGGCGGCCACGGAGGGCCTACTGGACAGGATCGAGGCCTCCTTCAAGGAGGTCCGCGCAGCGGCTGCATCCCAGGCGGTTCCCACAGAACGACATGGGCTGGGTCGGTTGATGTCCAGCGCTTTTGGCGCCGGGCGGCGCGGCACATGCATATGCTGCCCTACCGCTGGCTTGCCCGCCGCCGCGCGGCACCCGGCGCCTGGTACGCAGCTGCCTCCGCCAGCGTTGCGACGCCGGCAGGCTTGGCGCCGACCCGCGCGCTTCGCCCTGGAGCTGCTGGCCTTCCTGGGCGCGGCCCTGCCCGCCGTCTACCTGGACTGCTCTGGCCTCAACGGCGTCATGGGCCAGCTGCTGCACGAGACCGAGTCCGCCTCTGGGACCTTCGGCGAGCCGAAGTACCACCTGAGCAACGCCGGGCCTGCGACCCAGAGCCAGACAGTCGAGGTCGCGGCGCATGGGGAGGTCGACGAGGCGAACAGCGGGTTCGACAGCATCTACACGGAGAAGTTGGACTACTGGTGCAACGCCTCTTGCCCGACCGAGGCCCAGTTTTTACACGAGAGCTTGGGGTTCGCTCTCGCCCAGGCGCCGCGGGATGACGCCTATGCATGCTCATTTTGCTCTGTCCGTATCGTCATCTTCCCTTCCTCCTGCCCCCCTCCTCCAATCCTGAATTCGGGGAGTTCGGGGGCGGTCGTGGTAATGGCACGGCGCCCTCGAGCCTCACGGAGGCAGCGCCTCCCTCTGTCTCCAGCCCCCTCTCCTCCCGAATTCGCTGAGCAGACTCTCCGCTCCCCTTGCTCTCCGCACCACTCTTCTAGTTGCTTGCCTGCTTGCCTGCTCCCCCGCCGACCCCCACGACCCCAGACACCTGTGCGCCCTCGGCTGCCAGACGACCGACTCCCCCACGAAGCCCACGCACGTGTCCGACCAGCGCCCTCCCCCACCCCGACGCCGCACCCGACGTCCAATCCCTGCCCGACGCTCTACCCGACGCCCCGCAACAGCACGACGACATACCCGACGCCCCACCCCAGCATGATGCCTTTCCCGACGACCCACCCCAGCCCGACGCCCTACCCCCGCCCGACGCCCTGCCCGACGCCGCTCCCCAGCCCGACGCCGTGCCCGACGCCCTGGTCCTGCGCGACTCCGCACTCGACGCCCTTCCCCCGCCCGACGCCCTACCTGACGCCGTGCCCCGGCACTACGCCCTCCTCGGCGGTGCACCACAGCGCGACGCCCTACACGGCCGCTGGTGGCCAATACTGCAACGTCGACCCCTGCGAAGTGTTGGCTGCGCCGGGCATTCGCCCCGTCGCCTTGGACGAGACGGAGCCGGAGGTCATGCCCGGCAGCCGCCCAGGAGCTGCAGCTGCGCCCGCGCCCTGCCCGTCCCGTCCGCCTTCGTGGATTCGGGGAGAGTCCGAATGCGATTGGGGTCGTGGGCCCCGGGGCTTACTTTCTCCCACCCTCCGATGCCTCCCCACCCCTTCCACGGGGTTGGGACCCTCACCCCCCTTGCACCCCTCCCCTCCCCGTCCCTTGCTCTCCTGTCCTCCCAGCTTTTGCTCTCTCCTCCGGCCTGCCCCTTGCCCGTCCCCGCGCCAACAGGATGGCTGGATCCTGGGGTCCGGTAGCGTGTTTGTTTTCTCTCTCAATAGGGCTGCCCTACCTGAGGAGCCCGCCGCCCCCTCGCTGGCGCTGCGCGCCGTGCTGGTGCCGCACGCGGAGGTCGATCGGGTCCGCCTGAACGGGACCGCCCCCTGGCTCCAGACCGGCCTGGCCATGGACCGCGTCGGCAGCACCGGGGCATCTTTCGACGCCCTGGGGACGACGGCGCACGACTCGGCAGCCGAGGTCATCACTTCGGTCGACGCGCTGCAGGTCCACTACGCAGACGGCGGCCACTCCCTGGAGGACAACGCCGTCGTGATGGGGCAGTTGTTGCACATCACCCCCTGGGGTTCGAGCCCCGTGAAGCCCCGGATCGGATGCTACGCGGACCCCTCCGACCCGCACCAGCTGAATGAGACCCACTTCATGAGCGTCAGTGCTGATGAGTCCAGTTCCACGCTGTTCGCGGACATCGGAGACACCATCGATCCTTCTGAGGCGCCTGGGCTGCTGCCAGGCTCGTCGCCGACTCCGTCGAGGGCGTTGCTGCGCGCCCCGCCGCGGAACGGCGAGAGTGGCGAGCCCGCGCTGCTGGGGGGCTCATCGCAGACCTGTGCGAGGACGCCAGGGTCGATGCCAACCCTGGGAAACTGGAGTGCCCTTCCCTGGCACTCGTCATCTTCCACTGGGCTATCCGAGACACCTCTTGGGGGCCGAGGGCGCGCTGAATCGGGGGCGGCCGGACGGCCCAAAAAGTGGCCCTTGTTTTCGGTCCCCATGGGGTCCCGGGGGCAGAAACTGGCCCCAGTTTTTGGTGGGTCCAAGGCGGCCTCCCCCCGCCAGAGGAGGGTGGGCAAGTGGGGGACGCGCCTTGTCCCTTCCCGGACTTGCCCCCGGGCCGTCCTGGCGGGATTCGGACCGCCCTCGGGTCAGTCCGAGCGCTCGTGCCCAGCTGCCCGCGCCGCCCCTGGGAGTCGACAGTCCTTTCGAGGACTCCGCTCTAGGTGGGGCCACTTCCCGTGCTACAGATCCCCATGGGGTCACGGCACTCGGACCTGGCGGGGCCTGGACCCTTCCGGCACCTTTCTCCCACCTGGTCTGCTCTTTTGCCCCCTCCTAGGTTTTGATCCCCTTCCAGGTTCCCTGCAAGACCGTGCCGCCACTCTGCCGACGTGGCTCGACGTCCTCCGGAAGGAAGGGTTCCTGGGCTCCCCCATCGACCTCCAGAACGAGTTGGTCTGCATCCTGGAGCTTTTCGAGTACCCGCCGACGCGGCGGCCTGGCACCCAGGTCTGCGACAGCGGCCCGCCTGGGCAGCACACGAGCTCGGCGGAGCTGTACTTCCACTCCCACCTCCGCAGCTGCGCCGCGAGCGCTTCTGGAGCTTCCAGCACGTCGTCCAGCCCCCTCGGCGATGGCATGCCCCAGGCTGGGTGGCCGCAGTGGCCAGCGGCGACCGCAGCTCCGATGAGCAGGATCCAACGCGTGTTCTGGCAGCCGACGTCGACCACCCTGGACGTGGCGTACTTCTGCGTGCGCACCCTGCCGGACCAGCTCGTCGACGCCATGAATTGGGCCCCTCCGGCGTTCGCCGGCGCATGCTTGGCCGAGTACCTCCACGCCGTCTTGGGCCAGACGATTCCCAGCGCGATCCATCCGGTCCTGGTGATGGCGGCCTCCTGTGTGCCTTCGGCGCCCGTGAAATTCCTCGTGGTCGGTGCGGCCTTGCATGGAGCTCCTCTTCAGCGTGCTCTTGCCGGAGCGTGCGGTGCCGCTTTAGTCGGGAATGTGCATTTCTCGCAGCCCGTCTGCACGTCCATCACAGTGGCGATCACCACGGCGCTGAGTCCAGGCTGGTACTCCACATGTTCGTCGCCTCCGGCAGCCTGGGGAGGACATGTGGCCTTGCTTATCCGGGCCGTGCTGTCGCCCGCTTTCCCCGCAGGCTCCGATTCGGATGTTTGCGGCACGTGTCTCTTCGAACGCCAGCGCTGCACGTGCCGCCGTGGAGGAGGGGGCCGCCAGCCAGGACCCCCCCCAAGCAGCAACGCCCGCAGCAGCGAGGCCCGCAGCCGCTCCCCTCTACAGGAGCCCCAATTGCAGCCACCCGCAGCTTCCGCGAGCTCCCCCTCGTCAGGGTTGGCGCCAGCGGCTGCCCCGCCCTCTGGCCACGACGTTACCGTCCGCAACACGTTCGTGAAGGCCGGTCCTGCCCGGGGGCCCCCGGGGCGCCGACTCAGGCGGAACCTCACCGAAGGCAACGACCCTGACGTGGATTCCTTGGAAGG